GCTGCAGGTGGAGGGGAGGGCGGGACCTGTGGCCCCCCTGACCCAGCTCCCCTCTCCCCGCAGGCCGACCTGCCCTTCGAGGAGCCATGGGCAGCAGAAACAGAGCCAGGGACCAGTGATTAGGGGTCAAGATGAGGAGGCACCGGGACGGCACCTCGGACAGCACCGCCTCCTGACCTTGAGGCCTAGGGGCAGCGAGGAGGAGGGGGTTCCCAGGAAAGGAAACGGCCCCCTTCTGGACCTTCACACGGGCTGTTCCTGCTTCCTGGAATGTCCTTCCGTAATATCCACTCTGCTTCTTCCCTCCCCTCCTTCAGGTCTTTACCCAAATGTCGCCCTGGTGAGGCAACCCAGACACCCCTGTCTGAAAGAACGACACCTCTGACTTGACTCCCTGTGGCAGTCCCTTCCAAAGATGTCCGTGTTCTCTTCCCAGAATCTGTGAATATGTTACCTTATGTAGTAAAAGGCAACTTGCAGGTGTAATTACATTAAAGAAGGAGACGGGGAGGTTATGGATTCTGGTGGGTCCCGTGCAGTCAGGTCCTTTAAGAGTCAGAGTCAGAAAAGGAGTGATGTCTCAAGCAGAAGCCGAGTGATGTGGGCAACAGCCAAGAAATGCAGACTCTCTAAAAGCTGAAAAAGACGCGGAATGGATTTTCTCCTGGAGCCTCCAGAAGAAAGTCCACCCGTTTTAGACCCCAAAGACTCATTTTGGAATTCTGACCTCCAAGATTGTGAGACAATAAATTTGTGTTTTTTAAAGCCACTGAGATTGTGGTAATTTGTTACAGCAGCGGTAAAAAACCAGCACACTTTCTCATCCTGATCTTTTTTTCCACATCACTTCCTAACATACTGTATGATATATTTATTTATTGTGTTAAATGTCCATGTTCAGCTGGGCACGGTGGCTCATGCCTGTAATCCCAGCACTTTGGGAGGCAGAGGTGAGAGGATTGCCTGAGCCCACGGATTCGAGACCAGCCTGGACAACTTGGTGAGACCTTCTACAATAAAGCAAAAAATTAGCCAGGTGTGGTGGCTCACATGTGTAGTTCCAGCTATTTGGAAGACTGAGGCAGAAGGATCACCTTAGCCCAGCAGGTCAAGGCTGTAATGGCCATGAGCGTGCCCTTGCACTCCAGCCTGGGCAACAGAGTGAGACTCAAGATTTTAAATATATATATATAGCTATTAGGTAAACAAAATAAATAAAATGAAATAACAAAAACTACACTTCCAATAAAAGACAAAAAGAAAAAAGGAAACAAAAGAGATATATAAAATATATATAATAGCAAGAAGATAAATTTACACATAGCCATATCAAATTAAACCGCATGTAAATTGTCTAAACGCTCAAATTAAAAAGTAGAGATTGCCAGATATGGTGGCTCATGCCTGTAATACCAGAACTTTGGGAGGCAGAGGAGAGAGGATCGCCTGAGCCCATGGGTTCAAGACCAGCCTGGGCAACTTGGCAAGACCTCATTTTTACAATAATTAAAAAAAAAAAACAAAACAGCCGGGCTCTGTGGCTCAGCCTGTAATCCTGCACCTTTGGAAGGCTGAGGTGAGTGGATTGCCTGAGCCCGTGGGTTCGAGACCCACCTGGGCAGCGAGACCTCATCTCTACAATAAATCAAAAAAATCAGCCGGGCGTGGTAGCG